CTCAATCTTGAATAAATGAAAATGAAATTAAAAGTCTAGTTTATTAATATATAAGTAAATGTCTTTAATATAATTTAGTTATAACATTTTAAGGCAATGTTTCTATTTGATAAAGTAAACATAGTTACTCTATTATTTCTTATAATTTAAACATTAACAAAAAACAGTTACTTTTCTTATGTAAGGATTGGTATTGGTGGATACTTCATTTTGAGTGAGACTTTTATGACAACGTTAATAATACAATTTTTGGAGAATTAATGCCTTTACAATGAATAATATTTATTAGGAAATTTACAAACACTACCAAATTTTTTAATGATTCAAAAATTATTTCTCTCATAACACAAAACATTCTACACTTTACCTTCATATTTTATATAATGTTTCAATTCTTCAAAAAATTTAATAAAGGAATTAAAGTTTGAAAATCAATTACAAAAGGATGTAAAGAATCTTTATTGAGACTAAACACACCTTTTAATATCCTCCTCTTAATCTTAAGACTAAATGAAGTGTTGATTCTTTTTGAATGTTATAATCTGAAAGAGTCTTTCCTTCTTCTAATTGTTTGCCTGCAAAAATAAGTCTTTGTTGATCTGGTGGAATTCCTTCTTTCTCTTGGATCTTAGCTTTAATAGCATCAATAGAATCATTTGGTTCAACTTCTAATGTAATAGTCTTTCCAGTAAGTGTCTTAACAAATATTTGCATTTTCACTTTAAAAGTTTCTTTTCACTCCCTTTTTATTCTTTTCGGAATCTTTTTGAAACATTTGACATCAATGACGTGTCTTTTTTTATTATAATAAAAAAATTATTAATTTTTATTTCTAATTATTATTTTTTATAAAAATGAGGTATATAACATAAATTAATTATTCCTTCAATTCTTTTCTTTTTTAATTAAATAAAAAGAAACAGATTATTCATTTTATTTACTCAGAGTATTTATTCAAAAATAAGTAATATACTCATTGAACTGTTTATATAAATATAATATTGAAGAAGTTCACTTTGGCATCAAATAAAAAGAGCAACCGAAGAGCTTTATGAAAAAACCATAAAAATAATTTTTGGTTAATGAAAAAGAATAATTGTAACAGATGAACAAAAAATGAAAATGTAAAAAGAAAAGAAATGAGTCAGTGATGAAGAGAAAATATAAAATAATTGAAGAAGAATAAAAGAAAATTTGAGTTAAAGGATTAAACCCTATAAATTTTTTTAAATCAGAATAGTATATTATTGGACTGAATTGAAGGGAAATATTAACAGATAAAATACTCACCATGAATCTTCTAGAAAGAAAAAAAGAGAAGTGAAAATCATTAATATTTTCACATTTTATTCAAAAAAAACCCTTTAAGAGAAATAAATATGGTAAAATAATAATAGTGTAATAGTAACAACATACTAAACAACAACCCTGAAAATAAAAATGAAAAAGCATGTATATCTGGATATAAAAAGGAAAAAAGAACAAAAAATAACATTAGTAAAAGAGTCATGTCTAGTACAGGAGTCAAA